ACAAGAGGAGCCGGGCCAGGCGGGGAGGAGGCTGGGCCTCGGCTGGCAGGTGGCAACAGGGGTGGATGTGTGCAAGGCGGGGGTTTGACCTGTGCGTGAGGGAGGGGCGCAGCGGGCGCAGAGGCGTGCACAGCCTTGCCGGGCGGGTCTTCCGCGGGCGTTCTGGCTTCCTCCGGGTCCCGTTTAGCTGGGCCACCGGCTGGCAGCCAAGACCAGGACTGTTCAGCCCTCTCCTCCGCTCTCTCCCAGTCACGCATCGCTAAGCGAGGCCGGAAGCTGGTGGACTACGACAGTGCCCGGCACCATTACGAGTCCCTCCAAACAGCCAAAAAGAAGGATGAAGCCAAAATTGCCAAGGTGAGGGGCCAGGGCAGTGCTGGGGAGACCGCGGGGGAGGGCTGTGCACAGGCCCAGGAGCCTGCCCTGAGCTGGGCTTACCTGCCCCTTTGCACCCTGGCCCCTGCCTCCACCTGTGACAGGTGGCAGGTCTCAGAGCTGGGTGGTGGGTGACAGGGTGGTCCCGGGGTGGCCCTCTGGCTCATTCACTGGCACCTGTCCAGCCCCTGGTCCCATCTCCCCCACCCCCCACCCCCATTGGCTCCCTGTGACACTTTCCTGAAGGAGAGGCTTGGGTTGCGGGGCGAGGCCCTCACCCAGCTGGTGTCTGAGTGGACACCCCAGGACCCATGCGAGCCTGCGTCTGCTGGAACAAGCCAGGCGGTGGGATGGAGGTGGGGGGTGCGGTGTGGGGGCCGCAGGACTTGGCGGGGGCCCCATTTCCCACAGGTCCTGAGGGAGAGCCCTGCCCCAGGGCAGGCCCTGCTTGCCGCACCCCCGCCCCAGCTAACGGTCTCACATTTTGCTTTGCAGTTGGAGTTCACCCCCTTCTGCGCCTGCTGGGGCTCCCCTAATTCTCTCGGCCTCTGAGGGGCCGGGTCCCTGGAGGCAGCAGCTTGTTCGCCAGCCTTCCAGGCCTTTGGACTTGGTGTTTAACGTCTGTCTCTGTTTCTCTCTGTCTCCCTCCTGTTTTCCTCTCTCCTTCGCCTGACCTCCCTTCCCCAGCCTGTCTCGCTGCTTGAGAAAGCCGCCCCCCAGTGGTGCCAAGGCAAACTGCAGGCTCATCTCGTAGCTCAAACTAACCTGCTCCGAAATCAGGTGACACTGGCTTCTAACCTTGCACGTGCTGGCGCCTTCCGGTCTGTGGCCCTGTCCTGTCTGCACTGCCCTGGCTTGGGCAGGGGGGCGGCGGGGGGCGGGGGG